TATATATATATATATATATATATATATATATATATATATGTGTGTGTGTGTGTGTGTATGAATTCAGTTGAATTTAGGATTAATCAGTTAGTCTTTATCTACTTTTTAAGATTTTCTCTTATTTAGTTTGTTTAACCCATCAATCCTCCCAAAACCAATGTTTAGTTATTGTCATTATAATAAAGACTTAACCATGCACAGGTCTTTTCAGTTATTTATTTGATAATTAAACTTCTTTATATTTGTGGTGGATTTAAAATACAGCAAAGAACCTGGAAAACAAAAATGAGCTGCAGTGATTTCAACAATATCAATGTTGCTTCTGTGCACATACTCTACCACTCTGATAGCTGGCATCACATGCATTCATAACTGGGTTGATTGATTATTCCAACTGCATATGGTCCCACTCTTCTGGTCAGAACCCTTAGATGATTTTCAAGATTTAACAAATCATCAAAGGCTATTTTCAGTCTGTTTTACCAGTTTTGAAACCAATTTTGATAAAAGTTTGGGATCATTTTACAGTAAGATTTAAAGATTAAATCGTTGCATCCAAACCTTTTGCTTTAGATGAAATAAATCAGTTATATTCATAGGAACAACCAGGACTGAAGTCTAGCAGGAACAGGATATAGCTGGGGAACCGATGTTCATACCCACGGCCGTGATAGTGTTACGTCGATAGGGACGGAGAGGGTTTCAGAGCATTGGATCAAAATCAATCAAACTCGACTTAAGTTTACGGCTGCTACCATTAAAAAGGCCAAATTCCTGGAGAAAAAACATCTGTGGGGAGATCAGGCAAGGACGATGCTATTTAGCTATACAGAGATTGTTTGGAAGAGGTTAGAGGTGGAAGATCAAAAGCAGTTTAATTTTCTGCTGATTAAAGCGTTCAAACATTGAGCCAGATTTATGCCAAAAGTTGATCCATTAGCAAGAGTTGTTTAACTTGGATATTAGTGGTTTCTATATCTCAGGATGTAGATCTAACTTTAGAAACATATGAATTATGGAATATCACAAATAAATTCAAGGTTATGCACCCTGTTCTGCCATCAATCAACCTGACTAAAACTACAAGCTTCAGGAAGATGCTGCATATTCAATGCACAAAATAGCATTACTGCAGATCCTTCCTCCCCACAGATATGACTTTAGAGCCAAATCTGTTCCCCACAAATGTAACCATTTACATCATCCATCCTGTTTTTGCTCAAGGATTCATTCTGCCCCGTTTAGTTTTGGAATTTTTAATCATTTTAAATAGTCTGTTGATCTGTTGATGTAGTCTGTAAATAGTCGGTTTTAAAGGATAAAATTTATATTTTATACATTCAATGAGACTTCGCTGCTCGGCTACACATTTGGTGTTTTTTATTTTTTTACATTACACTGTACTTTATTCCCTCTGGAAACCTGCCTGCATTGTCTTTTATTCTTGTTTTATTTTCACATATTCATTACTCTTATATGTGCATGTTTTCTCATCTCTTTTCACTTGGGACACATGCATTTGGCCACAGGGGGACATTTAAGATCATTTCTATTCTATTCTGCATCTAGGTCACATGGTAGGTCACAAGATATATGCAGTTTTGAATAAAATCGAGGCCATAAAACCTGAAGAACACGACTAATTTTCTTTGGAGAGAGCTCAAATTGTTTTCATAAATGAAAATAAAACGATAAAACATGATATTATGTAAGGATAAAAGATGTTATCTCAGCT